TCGAGGTTTTGATCACAGATCCTGAAAAACTCGAAGCAGTGCGGCAACGCGAAGTAGATATTACGAAAGAACGCATTCAAAAAATTCTTGCAGCAGGCGCGAACGTTATTCTTGTATCTGGAGGAATTGATGATCTCTGCTTAAAGGTATACTTAAACTGTGTAATGATTATTATATTTTTAATGCAAAAGATTGACATTCATGTAACTTTTTATATTTATTTAGTATTTTATAGAAGCTAAAGCATTGGCAGTTCGTAGATGCAAGAAGGCAGATTTGAAAAGAATTGCTAAAGCTACAGGTGCACAGTTTGTTACTTCATTGACCAATATGGAGGGAGAAGAAAGCTTTGATAACAGTTTTCTTGGAGAAGCTGCTGAAGTAGTCCAAGAAATGATATGTGATGATGAACTCATTCTTATTAAAGGGTTCGTTTAATCTAATTATTTGAGAAGAAAAATAATTATAGTTAAATTAACATTATATTTATCTTAATTGTAATAGACCGAAAGCAAGGACGGCAAGTTCTCTCATATTACGCGGACCAAATGATTATTATTGTGATGAGATGGAACGATCTGTGCATGACGCATTGTGTGCGGTAAAGCGAGTTTTAGAAAGTAAAAGTGTGGTTGCAGGAGGAGGTTGTGTTGAAGCAGCACTTTCAATTTATTTGGAAAACTTTGCTACATCTCTAGTAAGTTAATTTCTCGAAAAAGATCTATATGACCTATATTCAACACTAGATTGCTAACTTATATCCATACTAATACATTTATACTTTACAGAGCTCCCGAGAGCAATTAGCTATTGCCGAATTTGCAAGATCATTATTGGTTATACCAAAAACGTTAGCAGTTAATGCAGCACAAGATGCTACAGATCTTGTTGCTAAATTACGTGCTTATCACAATTCCAGTCAGACAAAAGCAGATCTTGCAGACTTAAAATGGTATTGTTTTTCAATAAATATTATATACTAAAATTTTTCTTATGCTGTTTAGTGAAAGTATAATATGATATATTGTTTTATAGGGTTGGCCTGGATTTGCTTGAGAGTACTATTAAAGATAACAAAAAAGCCGGTGTATTGGAACCAGCTATTTCAAAAATCAAGTCTTTGAAATTCGCCACAGAAGCGGCAATAACTATTCTTAGAATTGATGATATGATCAAACTAGATCCAGATCGTTCCAAGGATAAATCGTATCGTGATGCAATGGAATCTGGTGAACTGGAAGATTAAAGTAAAAATGCATTTACCCATCTCTTTTTACACGATTCATTATGTAAGAAAGATTAAATTATTCTTTACTGCAAATACCATTTTACATTTTATCGATAAAAAAACATTACAATTTAACATTGATGTTAATATGTTAAACTTGTATTACATTTAATGCTTTGTCATAAACAAATGTGCTGGTAATAATTAAAATAAAGCTTTTACGTACAAAAATTGTGTATTTTATATTCTCAGCAGCAATGTAAGGATATGTTTATGCATCTGAAATATTTTATTAAAAATTTTATTGTTCATATGGATATTTAAAAAAATATTTTAAAAAACAGGAAAAAATATGAAATATATCTATGATTCAACGCGTAATTTTTAAAAATTACGTTCAACAATATCGGAATGAGTTGGTATCAACTTACATAATGCATAAACGTATTTTAATGATGATGCACGTAATTAATTACATGTGGTGCATATAATTAGAAAAAAGAAAATACTTAAAATTAATACTATTTTTTTTTAATCAGTTTAATAAATTTTGATATAACATGTAACAGTTTATTAATGGAAAATAATGGATTTATATTTTTAAGTATTATGTGATATGTACTTTAGGGTTCAAATTTCAAAGAAAATATTTCAGAATTCCTTTTTTATTTTATAAACAGATGTATATTGATTAGTGAATCATGAAACTATTTACAATCAGGCATTTCAAGTATGTTATAGCAGTCGACTCTTTCTATGACACGCCTTTAAGGAGACACGTGCATAATGATAATTCATGTTGTTTTCTGTGCATGTATATTTACAATGTAGTATGATTGCTTTTGAGAAATTTTTGACATGTCAATTTGATAAAATATAGTACTTTTTTTAATATGATTTAACACTTGTATCCCATGAAATAGGTATACATATATAACAATAAATTATTGAACATTTTTATGGTCGGACTAATTAAATTACTAACTGTAACGCTATTTTCTTTGAGAAAATAGTATGGTCAAACAATTTTTTTTTTACATAATTAGATCAGATTTTTTTTCTAAGCATAGTAAAGAAATTCTACGATAAAAATTGAAACATAAAAGCGTGACTATCAAATCAGTGCTCTTTGGAATGTTCACAATGTAAATATAAATTATAGTGGATTATAAACTTTCAGTAATTCATCTGAAAAAGTAACTATACAGATTATGTCAAGTGTACACAAAAAATATAGGAGATAGTATTTATATAAATGTGAAAAATAACTTAATCACACTGTCGTTCCTAAAGTATGACTGCAATACATAAAAGCATTATCCATAAAACATTCCCTTGATTCTTCCATTAATAATTTGTTTACAGTAGTAATTCATATATATAAGTACTCTAATAAAAAAAAATTCTTGTAATGTGTTTCATTTTTTAAATTTCAAGATTTGAGAATAATAGATAAACCATACATAATCTCATTTTATGAAATTTTCAACATAATTTTTTTTTATCAAATTTCATAAATTATCTTATAAGATTATTAGTAATTTTGGACCATCC